GGGGGGGGGAGGAATTCTGGCAGATCGCGACGTTTGCCGGATTCCGCGGCAGCTGTTCCACGATTTCACTGATTCTTGACGGCTTCGTGGCTCATCGTCTAGCATTTCTTACAGGGAGAAACGAGTGAGTTCTCCGTGACGCGTGGAGGCCAGAGTCGAGGAAACAATTAAGAGGCAGATCAGATAGGAGCGAGAGTATCCTCTGGAAAATATATTCCGTCTGCGGATTGAAACAAAGAAGCAGCAGGATCCTGCCAGTTGCGCAGTCTTAGACTCGCGATAACGCGCGATAAGAGCGGATCTGCTAGAGAGCCAAGGACATCCCGAGAATCTACCTTCTGCCGATCTCCATCTCGGTCCTTTGCCTTCCCGGTGAATCACTCTTCTCACTCTTCTCACGCAAAGGCACGCAAAGGCACGTACGTAGACGCGTTGAGCTGCGTCGCTTCTCTTCTGGTCCCTACGCACGCGAGTGGTTCGACCGGTGTCGGCCATATTTGGCCGGGCAGCTCACACGGATTTTGCAAGACCACCTTTCATGCTGCGTCACGAGAAGAGGTCATGGACTCGAATGGAGTCGCCAGGGAAACAATGAAAGTCCGAACCGTTCGACGAAAGACACAAGATGGTCCGCAGCCATTCCGATATCGGATCCCCCATTAAAAGTCGGCAGGATCGATTGGGACTGAAAATTCATTTGGAGACGGGAGGCTGGACCAGCCGAAGATTCTTTCATTCGATTGCTCCGCGTAAGAGGACTAAAGGATAAGGCGTGAGCGACCCTAGAGAGACGAGACGGAGGAGGATTCTGGTCTCGTCTCGTTTTATTATCTCTCGCGCGGTCGAATCTTCGCGCAGATTGGCAACCGGTTTCATGCACCCCGATGCCATCGGCGCTTCCAACGGCCGACTCTTATTTCCACTACTTGTCGAGTTATCACTTCTCATTCCGATCATTCCGACGCGTCAAATCATCGAGCAACTTCAAAGCGATTTTCCTTTCGTGTCTCCAGGACCTCCTGGAGTTTTCTTTGCGGACGCGAAGCGACTGAACTCTTCCTAAGCTTCTTTCAATATTCTTCGTGCTTTCGAGACTTCGGAAACAGGAGGTGCATACGTGCAAGGTGATTCATGGAACCGAACAGAGCCATCCAGGGCCGAATCTGTGATGGAATGTCTCTGCCGAAGGAAGGGGAGTCGGCGGGGAGGCTCTCATCGTCCCGCCCCGCCCCGTTCGCATAAGGGAAGAGAGCGCGAAGGGCGCGTTGCAGCGCGGGTGAACGGGCATGCACGTTTCTCGAGGTTCGCGTGTCTCGTTGGGATTAATGGCTCGTGACGCTGGCACCGGAACCTGCCGCGAATTCGAAATCAGCCTTCAGCGAGAGGCAATACGAATACCTCCAGCCGCAGCTACGGACGCCTGTGTCTGCTTAGTGTACAATAGTCACTGTCCTCTGGAAGGATACGTTGGCTTACCATTATCGTTTACGTTCGCGGCTGCTAAGCCAATGACGCATATCCATATTGGGAATCGGCAGAAATCGCTACGGACACTCATGTTCGCGCACTTTACGAATCGCTGGAGAATCCAAAGAAATGCAATAATGTAGGGGAAACGACGTTTTTCTCTATTTTAGAGTCTCATCGATGCACAGAATGACTTTCCACGTGCCAACACTGACACCACAGACCGGGAGAACTCCTCTCGAACTCCAACCGATGGCTTTGACTGGTGGGACTGGTGGACGGGCGCCCGGGTGCACCGACGCAGGGACGCACGATAGATCGAGGACGAGAGTTGCTGAGAAGAGGAGGGGACGGGGAGGCGGGAGAGAGGGACAGCAAGATATAGAGAGAGAGAGAGAGAGAGAGAGAGAGAGAGAGAGAGAGAGAGAGAGAGAGTGACAGAAAGAAAGGTAGAAAAAAGGAGACACTGGTTACAACGAGGAGAGATGGTTTCCGAGCGAGGACGCAAGAGAGACTAACTCGCGGGAAGAGCGACTGGGACTGAGGGGCCCAAGGAGGCTCAAGGCAGCACACTTTGAATGTTCTGCGGAGCCTCCACTCCTCACAAAAGCTGCACAGATGGGAAAGTGTGAGAGCGCCAGTCGACGCGTTCATCGCCGCCATTCCCTCCTCCTTCGCCTCTTTCGCCTCTTTCGCCTCTTCCTCGCCTCTCCGTGGCTGATAGGTAACCTGGCGTGGGCGCATCTTCCTCGTAGTGGGCGAGTGGGCGAGTGGGCGAGTGAC